TCAAAATGGTAACTCTATTCAGAATGTGAATGGACCCATTTGTTCCTCTTTTGGTTGGAATCCTTCTGTTAGTAACAGTTTAGGCACAGGGAGGCCTAAGTGCTTTTCAGATTTTACATCTGTTTTATATAAAGGACATGGGTTTTTTTTCTGGAAGCACTTTTGTTTGTTGAATAAAGGAACCCTGGGAGACTGTTGGGTGAGATGTAATATCCTCAGACAACTAGAAGTTGTTTCTTCTGGAGGCCATGTATGAAAAAATGGAAGGTGTCCCTGTAACTTACTGAAAACGCAGGTGATCAGGGATAGCCATTGTATTTACTGTTCAACCAATTACTAATTCCCCTCTTTCCAACTACTGTTATTTTTATATCTCTTTTTTGGAAGTTTATACATTTTTGTAATAGGGCAGATAATTCAAATAAGTATTGTTCTCTCAGGTAAGTTCCAAGAATACAGTAAATACAACTTTTTGGACCTCTGTGCCATTTGTATGTTGTTTTAGTTCTTAACTCAAAATGGATCAAAGATTTAAATGGTAAGTGCTAAAACTATCAAACTCTTAGAAGAAAAATATAGATGTGAATCTTAACAACCTTGTTTAGGCACTTTAGTTTCTTAGATGTGATACCAAAAGCACAAGCAACAACAACAAAATAGATACATTTGACTTTATCAATTTGTAAAACTGTTGGGATTCTAAGAACACCATGAAGAAAAAAGCGAAAGGCAACCCACAGAAATAATGTTTATAAATCATATATGATAAAGGATTTGTGTCTTACAAAGTAAAATGATAAATGACCCAACTAAAACTAGGGCCAAAGATTTGAATAGATATCTCCCCGAAGAAGATATACAAATGACCAATAAGCATATGAAAAGATGCTAAACATCATTAGTCATTAGGGAAATGCAAATCAACACTACACTGAGATGCTACTTCGTAGGATGGCTATAATGAAAAAGTTAGATAATAATAAGGATGTGGGGAAATTAGAATGCTCATACATTGCTTTGGGGAATGTAAAATGGTGCAGCCATTTTGGAAGATAGACAGTTCCTCAAAAGGTTAAACATAGAATTGCCATATAACTCAGCCAAAAACATGTACACTAAACATGTACAGCAACATTATTTGTAATAGTCAAAAAGTGGAAACAGTCCAAATGATGATCCATCAGTTGATGAATAGTTAAACAAAATGTGCTATACCCATACAATGGAATATTATTCAACCATAAAAAGAAAGTACCTGCTGCATAGTTGGTGTGGCTCAGTGGTTGGGTACAGACCTATATACAAGGAGGTCACAGTTCAGTTCCCGATTGGGCACATGCCCGGGTGGCGGGCTTGATCCTCAGTGGGGGACGTGCAGGAGGCAGCCGACCAATGATTACCTCTATTCATTGATTTTTCTCTCTCTCTCCCCCTCTCCCTTCCTCTCTGAAAAAATATCAATGAAATAAATATTTTTAAAAAAAAGATGAACTGCTGATGTACAGGATGGGTCAAATGTAGGTTTACAGTTGTTCATATGGAAAATAATACAATAATTAATAAATAATCAAACAAGAATAAACACTGTCTTTCACATATTCACAACTGTAGACCTACTTTTGCCCCACCCTGTATGCTGCAATATGAATGAACCTTGAACTCAGTATGCTAGAAGACAGATACTATGTGATTTCATTTATATGACTGTCCAGAATAAGCAAACCCATAGAAACAGAAAGGAGATTAGTGGTTCTCAGGGGCTGGGGAAAGGTAGGAATGAAAGTAGCTTCTACTGGGTGCAGAGTTTCTTTTTGGAGTGATGAAAATGTTCTAAAACTAGTGGTGATGGCTATACAACTCTAAATAAATTTTATGGCATGAGAATTATATTTCGATGAAGGGAATTCAGAGTACAGTGAATACCTACTTTTCTAACATTCAATTAAGAAATAGAACATCATTGTTACCTTAAAGTCATTGTCCTTTCTCCACATAGCCACATGGCTCACTCTCTCACTTCTTTATCCAGCATTCTGCCCCCATTTTACGTCCTCAGAGAGACCTTCCCAGAGTGCCCCACTTAAAGTAGTACCCTCCGCCTATCACTCTGGGTCTCTATCATCCTGCCTTTAAAAACAACAACAACACACACACACACACACACACACACAAAACCTTATTGAGTCCTGCTTATTTCCAGAACTTTTTATTACCTAATATATTATTATACAAGTATTTGTTTACTATCAGTCTCCTCCCTCCACCCCCCCCCCCCATGTGAGTAATATGGGCAGAGACTTTAGTTTCCTATACAGCTGTGTTTGTAGTGTCCAAAGCAGTGGCTGTCCTGAAGGTGCTACTAATCAAATGTTGGTTCCGTTTGTAAATAAATCCTTGTGTTTCAGAGCTCAGGCAGTACTTCCTTCTCTTCTAGTTAGTTCTCATGGACTTAGTCCCTGTTCTGAAGTCCTCTGATACTTACTGTCTTTACTTTGGTACTAAGTTCAACTTTTACGTTAATGTTTGTATATCTTGTCTCTCCAGTCAGGCAAGAACTATATCTTTTTTTTTTCTTTTCCCAGAAAGTCTAACATATAGTAAGAGTAAGCAAATACTCGTTAAATTAAATTTGAAAATAAATCTATTGCTATGGCAGCTTCTTAATCTAATGATGTTGAGTCATAAATCCTTTAGTTCACTCAACAAATTCATTTATTTATTCAACAAATATTTATTGAACATCTACTAAATCCTGGGCACTATTTAAGGTGCTAAATATATAGCACAAACAAAATAGGCAACCTCCCTGCTCTCATGAAGTTTACAGTATAGTGAGGGGAGAAAAAATAAATATACACATAATATATTTCTTAGTGATAACTGCTATGAGAAAAATAAAACAGAATAGGGAGTTCCAGTGTGAAATTTATGGGAGTTGCTATTTTATACATTGTTGGAGAAAAGCATCTCTGGCTAAAGAAGCAAGTCCTATGGATTTCTGGTAGAAGAGCATTCCGGAAGAAAAATACAGCAGTACAAAGATCTTGAAATAGAGGTAGGTTTATTGTTTTTGAAGAAACAGTGTGGCTGCAAGCCTGAGAGGCTAGTAGGAGATGACCTCAAATCATGTAATCCCTTGAGAACATTTAATGATCTGGGTTTTAAGTCAAGTGAGATTGGGGGCTGTTAGAGCGTTTTTATAGGGGATACCTTTGGTTGATTTGTGAAGTTAGAGCCATGTGTCATGGACAGAAGCAGGCAGACCAGTTGGCAGGCTCTTGGAATAATCCAGGTGAAATATTATACTAGCTTATATTAGAGTGGAATCAGTGGAAGTGGAGAGAGTTGATTTAATCCTGGATATATTTTGAGAGTAGATCTAATAGCATCTGATGATTGTCTGGATGTGGATATGAGATAAAAAGGCGAGTCAAAGATAAGTCCTAAGATTTTTGGCTAAGCTTTTGGTAAAAGAGATGCCATAAACTAAAAGGAGTGAAAACTATAGGTGGTGTTATTTTCTTTTGTTCTCTTTTTTTCCGGAGGGGGGGGGGTAGTGTATAATCAGTCAGTTTGGGACATATAAGTTTGAGATGCCTATTTGAAATCCAAGTGGAAATGTGGTTAGAATATTGGAGTTAAAGAGAGAGGCCCAGTAAGACACATAAATTTGTAGTTGTCAATGTATAGATGATGTTCAAAGCCAGAAAAATCAATATGATCACCAGAGAAATTAATATAGGAGAAAAAGTCCTCAGACTGAACCCTCAGGAATTCTAGGATTTGGAGGTTGGGGAGATGAGGAGTAATAAGTGAAGGAGACAATAGAACATATCAGAGGAAGATCAAGAGTGCCCTGAATTTGGGGAATGCAAGTGTAACAAGGAGAGAACATCACCTGTGTCAGATGCTGTTTGATAAATCACCTAAGACGAGAATTGATCTCATTAGTTATTTAGGTCCACCATACCAAACAAGTAATTGCCCAGGCAAAATTAATAAGCTTCTCAAGAAAAACCCTCTCAACACTTGTTAGTTATGAGAGACTATATGTGTTAAGTTTTGAATTTGCAAATTAGAAAACTCAAAATGTTCTGAGTTTTCAAAGTATAACTGTACATTGTATATAGTGGGGTAGAATATTAGGAAAGAATTTTAAAGATATATTTACCTTTTTAGTGCATCACTAACTTGTCATTATTGTGGAAAACCAATAAGATCTATTAATAGAATCTGATTATGAAAATTAGATAATTCCTCATATTCTAGCCAAAGGAAAGAGAGGACTCTTAATTAGAAATCTATGCCTCTTGGCTCTCTCTCTCTCTCTTTTTCCTCTTCTTCTTCTCCTTCTTCTTCTTCTTTTTCTTCTTCTTCTTCTTCTTCTTCTTCTTCTTCTTCTTCTTCTTCTTCTTCTTCTTCTTCTTCTTCTTTGCTATAAGGCTGATTTTGAATATTATATTTGTTAGGTTAAGTTCCAATTATAGGCTAATTTGCTTAATGTAAATTTAATGAGCAAGAAATTTTCTTTTTTTCACACTGTTTGAAGTCAGAGAAGCCCTGTTTACTGAGCTAACCTTGAAAATTAATATTGTAAGTGGATGATTTGTTTATACTGATCATTAGCCAGGCTCATTATGATTATATTACACATCAGTCAATTTTTAATATTAGATAGGCCTTTTTAGTCATCTTAATTCTGTTCTCTAAAATGATTTTCCTGATATATCAATAAATTAGAAAATTCAAAATTGAATTTTAATACCTTCCTACTACTTAGTTCTAGAATATTGAAAGTAATTTGTATCTCTTAATAGCAAATCTTGCTGAGTTTGCTGCTGTTATACATCGTTAAAGAATGCTGTGACAGCGAAAGGGAATACTACATACTAGAGAGAAAAATAGTTTAATATGTGATTAAAAGAACACAATTATCCTAAACTGTTAATGTGGTATGAGATTTTCACAAAGATTTTCTTTTTTATTCAAACATTGCTAAGGATTTGAAGCATTCATTACCAGCTGGACTTGGTCTCTCAGAAACCCAAATTACATCTCATGGCTTTGACAGTACCAAAGAGGGGGTTATTGAAGCAGGAGCATATCAAGGTAAGAGCCCATGTATTTTTAAAGATGGCTGGGGTGGAGGATGGGAGGTCATCAAATGCTACCTTTATTAAAAAGCATAAGAATTGAGCCCTTTAATTCAATGATAAAACACCAATTATAAGCATATTCCTTTTTCTCTTCAATTTAATGATTTAGGAATTGTTTTAGTAGTAGTCTTCATAGAAATAGATCAATCTGCATGATTTCACTGATTATTATATAGGAATTGTTTTATTTTATTTTTCCATCACCATTTATCCCAGTGGTTCTCAACCTTCCTAATGCTGCGACCCTTTAATACAGTTCCGCATGTTGTGGTGACCCCCAACCATAAAATTATTTTTGTTGCTACTTCATAACTGTAATGTTGCTACTGTTATGAATCGTAATTAAACATCTGATATGCAGCATGTATTTTCATTGTTACAAATTGAACATAATTAAAGCATAGTGATTAATCACAAAAACAATATGTAATTATATATGTTTTCCGATGGTCTTAGGCGACCCCTGTGAAAGGGTCATTTGACCCCCAAAGGGGTCGCGACCCACAGGTTGAGAACCGCTGATTTATCCCCCTTTGTGCTCTCTTAGGAATTGGTTTTAAATTACTGAAATAAAAACTCAAAAATTATATCAAAATGCAGATTTAAATGATTTTAGCTTATAAGCACAAAATGTATAGCTATTAGTCAATATTGATTTGTATAAATACATATTTCCTATATCAAAGCAATTAGGAAAATAAAACTTTTATTTTTTCCAACTATACACATTGTATAGGACATCTCCAAGACCACCATAAGATTTAGTAATTTGCTAAGAGGACTCAAGGGACTCCTTGAGTTATGATTATTTCAGCAAAAGAATACCAAGCACAGTTAGCAAAGGTAAAGGATGCCTGAGGTGAAGCCTGAGGAAAGTAGGCATAAGCTTGAGAGGGTCTTCTCACATTGCAGTCACATGGGCCGTGTTTAATTCCCCAGCAGAGTTGTGACACACGTGTTACTGAACAGGGAAGCTCATTAGAGACTCAGTGCCCTGGATTTTTACTGGAGATTGCTCCATAGGATCCTCTGCCTAGCATGTACCAACATTCCAGGCTCCCAGAAGGAAAGCAGGTGTCTAGCATAGATACATTTTGTAAATAGTTTAGGCACAGTGAGCCTGTCTTACCATTCTGGGAATGGTTGGAATCTTAACCAAATTTAAGTTCCCAGACACCATCCAAAGGCCAATCTTATGAGCTAGTCTTTTTAAGAATAAGCAATTAGACTTGCTGTGTTAATTCTTTTGCACACATCACATATATATGTCTATTTTTAATATAAAGGACAAAGTTGTATCCTTTGTAATGCTCTTGCCCCTAACAACCTTTTAAAAGTGTTTTTTATTTTTCTCATGAGTGAAAGAAAATAAAACCATGTAAATATTTAGGTGTAAAAAATGGATTTTCTTGCCCTGGGCATTGTGGCTCAGTTGGTCGGGTGTTGTCCCGTGCACTGAAAAGGTTCCTGATTCGATTCCAGGTCAGGGTACATACCCATGTTGCAGGTTTGATCCTTGGTTGGGTCACATATGGAAGGCAACCAATTGATGTTTCTCTCTCACATCGATGTCTGTCTGTCTGTATCTTCCCCCCCGCCCCCACCCCAGCATGTCCTTGGGTGAGGATTTAATAAATAAATAAAATATTTACTTAAGTTTTAAATCATTCAGTTATGGGACTTTAATTCCATTCTAGTAATTTATTTTTAAAAAGCAGAGTCTAGGTAAAGTTCTGTTTAGACATGCTCTTACCAAGTTTCTTCTGATAGTTATGTGTCTTGTTTGGTCTTAAGAGTTCAATGAAAAATTTATTCAGGAACTCAACCTGCTCACATCCATTTATTACTTAGTTCATTCCTGCAAGAAAGCAAATATATTAATTCCAGGTGTGTTTTTTTTTAAATATGTTTTTATTTACTTTAGACAGAGGAAGGGAGAAGGATAGCGAGACATCGACTGGCTGCTTCCTGCATGCCCCTACTGGGGATCAAGCCTACAACCTGGGCATGTGCCCTGACTGGGAATCAAACCATGATCTCCTGGTTCATGGGTCAATGCTCAACCACCGAGCTACACCAGCCAGGCTATTAATTCCAGTTTTTTATACTAGTTTTTGAATATTTTAAAGGCAATGTTAGTAAATCTATATTAAAAATGTACAATATGTGGAGGAGGAAAAGGATTTTCACAGTTAAATGTCTATCCTTTTCAGGTCCCTCAGCACCACCATTGCCATCTGTTATGTCTCCTAGCAGGGTTGCAGCTAGTCAACTGGCTCAACAAGGAAGTGATTTAATTGTTCCCGCAGGTATTCACTGCACTCATTGGATAAAGCACTTCTTGCTACTGCTGAAGCTAAACTAATTCACTCAGTTTCATAATCACTTGCTTAATACTCTTAGGTGTGTGTTATTCTGACTTTTTTGGTGGCTGCTGCTTTTTCTTTCTCTTTCTTTCTTAGCAATAAGGGAGATGATCATTCTAGCCATACATATCTTTCTGGCTTTTAAAAGTTATTAACTGTATCTCATACCTGAAATTTAATTCACTTTAAGATTTAAAAACATTGTAAATTTTGATTCCTTTTAAATCATCCTTTCTTTGTTCTGGGAAATGTAGGTTCACTTACTTGATCCTAAACTTTCAACTTTGCAGCTCTGCTCTCTGTTTTCTAGTTAAACAAGAAAGGCGTCTTCAACAGTTGGGTTGTTCATTGTTTGGAATGGGTCGTGTGTCTTCCTATTTTCAGCCTCAGCTTACAGATAGTTTGCAGACTATAACAAAATACTATGTAATTTACTAGTTTTGCCCAATGAAAAATACTTGGGAAAAACCCATTTCTTTGCACTAAATTTGTTCTGCACTTTAATATTTCTGGACTATGAAAATAGGAAAAAAATTGAACACCATATTTCTTTTTATATGTCATGTTAACATTTTGTATTTTGTTTCTATGAGAATTTGGTAAATTCTTAAATGTCTTACTTTATATAAATCATTTTTTATTTTAGATTATGGTAAAGCTGTGGTAAAAGCTGGTCTGGCTATAGGAGTGAGAAAAATTTTTGCTGACTAATTTTTTAAACCATTTGTTATAGCCTTTTATCTTATTTTATTGTTCTTCTAAAATTATTATAAAGTTTTTATCCCAAGTCATTAGTATCATAAATGTTTATTAAATATTTTCTTTTTTGAAAAATATTTTACAGTTAAAAATTAGATAGTTGTTGAGTTGTTTTTTATGTCAGGGCATCAGCCTGCCTTTAGTAATTATGGCTTTTTTTGATGGAGGAGGGGGTGTCTCTTAAGAAAAAGAGGTACAATGTAGGTCTTGTTTTAACCCAGCCTTTCATACTGGTGGTAAGATATTTTTAATGATTGTTTGAAATTTGAATTGTATTTTTTAAATCCTCCAGAATTATAGTAACATTCTATTGTTGTTCGGTTTACATAGTACAGTGAAAGGAGATCACAGTGTGAGGGTATGTGGCCTTTCAAATTTTTACTGACACAGTTTTTTTAGGGTCATTAGGTTATAATATTAATTGTGGAAATTGTATTTTTCTTAAGTAAAACACACTTGTTTAGAAAAGAAGGTTGATTGCAGCTTTTTTTTTTTTTAAAAGAAGATGACAAGCTAACCACATGGCATTTGTGTTTAATAGAAATATTATTTAAGTGTTAGGAAATTATCTTCAATGATCCCAGGAAGTTGTAGACCTTCAGTTTGTGGGAACCTTCTCATTTTTTTAAATGCATAAGTAGTTTAATTTGAACAGCATCAGTGTTTTGTTTTTTTTCCCTACTTTCATTACCTGGTTTGTGTTTTTATCTGTTGTGTTTATGATCATGCAGGTGGCCAGAGAACACAGACAAAAAGTGGACCAGTTATTTTAGCAGATGAAATTAAAAATCCTGCAATGGAAAAGTTAGAACTTGTTAGAAAATGGAGTCTAAACACCTACAAGGTTTGTAATTTTTTAATGTTTCCACCCTAACTGGCTCTAGGAATTTATATTTGTGTTATTCAAATTATTTTGCAATTGTATGAACACATAAGAGAGCATAATGCTATCTAAAAATGAAATTACAATTGGAAAATGAAGTATTTTGTTTTATTACTGATCTTTATATAAATGTAGTTTAAAAAGTCAATAGGAAAAAGGTAAAAGAAACACTACTAAAATGCTTATTAATTGATAGATAGAAATATATTGCCTTGGAATATATTTAGCTGTAGAACTGCTATAGGTATGTTTGTCTCCACCTCCCTCTTTTTGATATTTTATAGTAGTGATTTTCAATCTTTTTCATCTCATGACACACAAAAACTAATTTCTAAAATTCTGTGGCACACCAAAAAATTTATTTTTTGCTGATCTGACAAAAAAAAGATATAATTTTGATTAATTCCCAACAGACGGCTATTGTTGTATTGGCTGTTGTCATTTTTTTAAATTTGACAATCTAAGGGAAAAGAGGTCAGTGCCCTTGACTAAATAAACAGTCAAGCATTGCATGTTTTAAACATTCTTGCAGTGTGTGCTGCAGCACACAGGAGAGTCTAGACCAGTGGTCAGCAAACTGACAAAATACCGACTTCTGCACGTGGGCCATGAAGTTTCAATCGCACTGTACGTGCGTGCCCGCACATGGTATTTTGTGGAAGAGCCACACTCAAGGGGCTAAAGAGCCGCATGTGGCTCGCGAGCCGCAGTTTGCCGACCACTGGTCTAGACTACCTATCAATAGTAGTTCTCTAATATCTAGTGGGATTAAAGGAAGGAAGAAGAAATTTATGTTTTATTTCCCTCATTATTTTAATTTTACAACAAATAGTAATTCTAACCAAAACTTTGAAAGAGATGATAAAAGAGCATATTTGCAATTTAAAAAATTGTTAATAGTGTACTTATTTACTACTTTTTAGAACTTTTTTCTTCACTTTAAAATGATGAGGAATATATTAATGCCCTTTAGGTTATTCATAAAATGTATTATTGAGTAGTGAAGTTGCTTATAATTTTTTATTTCTAACAAAAAATACAAGAAAATTTATTTTAGTATGCTCTGAAATTAGGTATTTTTAAAAAGTATAAATTTTTTATCATTATTTTTGAGGCAGAATGGAATAATATAATTTAACTCTATTTGAGCAAAAGTAAAAGAATTCAGAAATCTCTAATCTCCTTTCTTCTCCTCCCTCACCCCTCTCTCTTTTCCTCCTATTCCCCCAGTCCCAACCCCTTTTCTTTTCTCTTTTCCCTTTCTTCCCTTCATTCCTCCTACTTACACACATACACACAGTGATTTAAGGGGAAGATAAAAGGAGGAAAGTCATATGAAACCAATAGGAGAGTGTAATTTGGTATTATTATTCCTTAGTTATTAATAGTCCAGTATTGTTCTTAAATCAATGCTAATCAGTTGTTTTAAATAAGCTACCAAGTGCATTAAGCTTAAAATACAATTTTGTGAGAGAGCTTATCTGGTAATATATGAATTAGCTAGATAAGTCTTAAAACTTCCTCTGATTGCCCTAACCGGTTTGGCTCAGTGGATAGAGCGTCGGCCTGTGGACTGAAGGATCTGGGTTCGATTCCGGTCAAGGGCATGTACCTTGGTTGTGGGCACATCCCCAGTAGGAGGTGTGCAGGAGGCAGCTGATCGATGTTTCTCTCTCATCGATGTTTCTAACTCTCTATCCCTCTCCCTTTCTCTCTGCAAAAAATCAATAAAAATATTTTTTTTTTTTAAAAAAAGAACTTCCTCTGATTAGTAGTAGTTATTAGACATGTCTGGTAAATTTACTTTCTTTTTTTTAAATTTTGTTTTATTGCTTAAAGTATTACAAAGAGTATTACATATGTCTCCTTTTTTTCCCCCCCCCCTTGACATTCCCTCGGCCTCCCCTACCCCCCAGTGTCTTGTTTCCATTGGTTATGCTTATATGCATGCATACAAGTCCCTTGGTTGATCTCTTACCACCCCGGCACCCCCACCCCCTGCTCCTGCCCTCCTCGGCCTTCCTGCTGTAGTTTGACAGTCTGTCCGATGCTGCTCTGCCTCTGTATCTATTTTTGTTCATCAGTGTATAATGGTCTTTATTATCCATAAATGAGTGAGATCATGTGGTATTTTTCCTTCATTGACTGGCTTAAATTTACTTTCTGAGTCCTAATGAACTTGTAAAAGGGCACTGACAGTTTTCAGTTTGTTAGTCTGCCTTTTGTGAAGCCAAAAATGATATATGCCATATGCTCTAACATTTTACTTTGGATTGCTGTATTATTTTTTTTCTTTTGTTCCTTTTTTTCTTTCTAAACAAAATGCATCTTTTCACTTTTAGTGCACTCGACAAATTATCTCTGAAAAGCTAGGCCGTGGGTCAAGAACTGTGGACCTTGAACTTGAAGCTCAGATTGATATATTAAGAGATAACAAGAAAAAGTATGAAAATATTCTAAGACTTGCTCAGACATTGTCAACCCAGCTTTTTCAGATGGTACATACACAAAGGCAACTTGGAGATGCATTTGCTGACCTGAGTTTGAAGTCACTAGAACTCCATGTAAGATTATTTTAAATAACTATGGGGTGGGGGGAGGCGAGTGGTGATAGGAGTATTCTAAGAGGTAGTTTGTTATATTGCTGATTTGCTGAAGTCTTAATCAAATTGGAATCTTTAGGTTTTTTAAAAGATATCCTCCTATATAATAAAATCCTAATATGCAAATCGATTGAACGGGGGAATGACTGGTTGCTATGATGCGCACTGACCATGAGGGGGCAGACGCTCAACGCAGGAGCTGCCCCCAGTTAGGAGGCAACCGGCAGCAGTGGCAATCGGGGGGCATGATCAGCCAGCAGATGGCGTCAGGCCTCCAGCCAAGCCAAGGTGGGTGCCAGCGGGGGGCCCCCCCCCCATCGCCCCGCCTGCTGGTGGCCCCGCAGAGGGA